TTAAACCATATCCACCATGAAGATCGCAAAGCGACCAAGCTCTGGCTGTTCCGGCAGGCCTGGGGCTGTTGAATTATACAGCCCCATCCTAAGTTATGAATGTTGTTGAATTTTAAATTGTTGTCTTTTATTTTTTATATCCCCCTTCCCTTTTTATTTGTAAGCCGCCCTGAGTCTTCCAAGAGTGGGCGGTATACAAGTTAATTAAATAAATAAAATAAATAAATAAGAGGTGGTGAAATAAGGTAGGACTACCTAGCAGGTTGAGGAGAGTCGCATATCTCCTCCTTGACTGGGAAAGCCCCCTCATCTTAAGACAAGGAGCAGCGGCACCCAAAATGGCAGCTATGAAGCCGGGGACAGCATGAATACCCAAGACTGTGCTGGAATGGAGAAAGTGCATGGAGTGTGATCTGGATAAGAAAATACTGTTTATTGGAAGTTTACCCCCCAAAACCAAGGGGGAAGCATATTTAAAGCTATTTGTGGAAGCTGCAAATCAGCACACAGAAAAAATATCAGATAATTCAAGAAGGAAAAAAAAATGCTTTTTAAATAATAATTAGAAACTTGGTCACTCAAAGTTAAAAGACATGGTATTGAGAGCATTTTAAAATGCTGGAATTGAAGTCCTAAATTTCTCTTTACAAACGTTGCTCAATTATTGGATTTATAATTTAAAATTAATTGGAATAATTGAAAAAACAATTGAAATTGGAACTGTTAACAATATCGCAGAGAGGTTGAAGCAGACAGAAGTGAGAGCGCCATCTGCTGACAAAAAGGGAAATATGCAAACTTGGAAATAACTATTGAAAAAGATTGGAAATATCTGTTAGATACAGACTTACTCTAAGACCACTAGAGATTTGATTATTAACTAAGGACTTCAGTTAAGAGCCCCTGAACGTCATTGAATATTACTGAACATATAAAGTAATTTGAAGAGGCATGGATAAGCTCCTGGTGAATTTAAATTGTTTGGACTGACTGTTGACAAGATTTAAAATTGTGACTTGGAAGTTTGGCTTTTTGAATTAATGAACTCTGGACAGTGGACTAAAAAAGAGATTGACTAAACATAGTTGCAACATTAGATGGAAGTGAGGAAAACCTAAACAGAATGGAGTTTTTCAAAGCATTGAGAAAATATTTGATCGCATAGACCAAAAATTGAGAAATTTAATACAAAGAATAACGGACAATGATCAGGACAAGGAAGAAAGAATGGAGCTACCAGAAGAAACAGAGGGGAAAGTGGAGAGAAACCAGCAAGAAAAAGATCACAAGAAGGAGATGTTGCCAAAATGAATAGTGATTAAGGAACTAAAATAGGAGGGAGATAGGGTAAAATACCTAAATAGGGAATGGGAGAAACAGGAAGAGAACTGGGGAAAAGAGATAGGAGGTGGAGTGGATAGTTCTGGAATCAGACAGTGGGAAACGGTAGAGTTCAGACGAAAAGTTAAATTGCATAGTCAAATAGAGGGAATAAAAGACCTAAGGGACAAAAATTGGGAAGAAAACTAAAAAGAAAATAAGATTAAAGGTTTGAATGCTAGTAAGAGATGAAGGATAAGGGAAAACAGAGTAAAAGAATAGTTTTATGAATATATTTCAATAATGTGTATTAATATCAGAACTATACAGGTTGGATTATTATTTTATAAGTGTGATAGATATTCAGATAATATTGTATATGAAGAATGGGAAAAATAGATTTTGAGTGACTGTACTACTAAATATGTATACAAATATGAATAACAGTGGAAGGTTAGAACTTTACAATGGGCAATTTGGAATATATATAAAATATATATTAATCTAAACATGTGTATTAAAAGTAGAATTATATGGATTGAAGAACTGAAAAGAACATAAATAGAAATACCCTAAATGTATAAATGATCATGATTGATATTATAACTGTGCAAGGAGATATTGAAAAATGGAAGAATGAATGATGGAACATTGATTTAACTAAGGAAATATGAACAACAAAAAAGGTGGAAAACACGTCTTTGAATATTAGAGTGATATGAAAAGAGGGGAAAGTTAAAATAGGGATAGAAAATAGTGGGGGAAAATAATATATATGAATATGTTAATATACAAAAGGACAGAAAGATGGTTCAGAAAGGAAGGGTGAAAATAAAAGACATGTATAAATAATATGAAACAATGGAAATGAATAATAAGACTATATTTATATGTACTGAAATGTATGTTACCTAGTTATCACACCATTCACGCAATGATATGTATAAAGAATATAAAAAATAAAAATTTGATTGAAAATAAAAGAAAATGATAGATCAAGTAATGGGAGCAGATCAGTGGTGGGATTAATTTTTTTTTACTACCAGTTCTGTGGGTGTGGCTTGGTGGGCGTGGCTTGGTGGGCGTGGCAGGGGAAGGATATTGTAAAATCTCCACTCCCTCCCCACTGCAGGGGAAGGTTACTGCAAAATCCCCATTCCCTCCCGATCAGCTGGGACTCGGGAGGCAGAGAATAGATGGGGACGGGGCCAGTCAGAGGTGGTGTTTACCATTTCTCTGAACTATTCAAAATGTCCACTACCAGTTCTCCAGAACTAGTCAGAACCTGCTGAATACCACATCTGGAGCAGATGGCAAGAACGTGACAGGCAGCAGAGAAAGTCACAACTGCTTAACTCTTGCTTTTAAGGAATCAGCCTTAAAGCACTGCCATAAGGAATCACTATTCTGTTTAAGGGTTACATTCCTTTGTATAATAAAGATTTAAACCTCATCACGTCCTATCTTATAGTTTTCTTGCTGAGTAGAGTCAATTGCTGAAAAAGGGGACAAATGCCATCTTATGAAGGGTAGGGTGTAGGGTACAATTTGTGTACCCTATAAAAATTGAAATGTCTTTGTTATTCATCCAAAGCAATAGTTAGGCGAACTTTTTGAGGGATAAAAGGGGGAGGGGGAAATCTCTTCCAAATCTGAGAAATGGAACATTTCCTAAGCATGCATAAAAAATCTCTGTTAAAATTAACATTTCATGAACCATATGAACTGGACACCACTGCCTGAAGGTGTCCCATGGAAGTATCTTTAGTGTGTTATAAAACCCTCTGTTGCTTTTAGAGGACTTTAGAAGAATAGTTATTCTTTGGGTTAACTGAAAGACTTCCTCTCCCCTTACCTTCTTACCCTCCACCAACTACTGTAATTGGTTTTTTCTTTCTCGTTTCTTTTTTAGGCATAGTAGGTGACTGGACGTCCGTCTTCTCAGAAAGCCAAAATGAGAAAATGGACAGAAAATTTGAGGAGTCTGTAGCGAAAACTAAGCTTGGGATGAAGTTGAAATATGAGCAGTACTGCAAAAACTGAACTGCTATAAATCTCTCGTGTTCTGATTCTCTGCATAAGGATAATAAAGACATTCTTAAATTGTTCATGAAGAATTGGTAGTGCCTTCCTCAGTCTCCAGATGTGTCAGATATCATTTTTGATAATCCTAACACAGCTTTTGGCTGGATTATATGATGAGTCAAGGAGTATTGGACCATGAATCTCTAAGACTACCCGCACCAACACTGATAGGGCAATCCACTAGAATATAAACTGACACTCCTTACAAACACTGATGATGTTACTTAGTTTGGGTAATGAAACATCTGCAACAGTGGTGGGTTGCAGGCAATACGCCCTGGTATGGGCGTACTGGTGCCTGCCCAGAGCACCAGATACCATTCCGGTACGGTGCTCAGGCGCCTACCCAAGCTCCTTACCAGTCTTTTAAGTCTTCAGCATTTCTGTGCACGTGCATGGCACGTACAGTGCCTGCGCAATGCTCCACTGAGCAGCTGGAGTGTCGCAGAGGCTTGCAGAGGTGCTAAGACCCATGCACGCATTGCACACATGTGCATGCAAGCTGCACGCGGCCATGTGGACAAGGCTGGGCCCATTGCAACTGGAACCCACCACTGATCTGCAAGAAAACAAGTAAGCTCAGACAGCACTAAGGACCCCTCATTTCAGGCCTTAGCTACAAATATTCTCCTTTATTGATGTGTCAACTGTAAACACAGTCAGAAACCTGCAGGAAAGCTAAAACAAGACAAATTATGTTCAAGCATCTGAGTAAATTACACATTCTAAAAAAGCAGACCCCAGGTTCTATTCAAATATAAGGTTTTTGTTTTGCTTTATTTTTACTGGTGTGATATATTAAAGTGCAATTGGCATTTTAATATATCTGAGAAATTATTCAGAACTTTCCAGTTTAGAGATTTACCTTTGTGTGTAATGCTTCCAATCAGCACCAGTTCAAAAATTCCCATTATAAAATATATTTAAAAAAATGAAAACTTGTCCCTTCCAAACAGGGTTTTTCTTTAGAATTCTAAAAGATTGAAAGCCCAATGAATGCCACTGAACATACAAGTTTAAAGTTGCTAGTGTTATTAAACATTTGTAGCTAAAATGTCAGCAATATAGGATCGTAGCAAGGGTGACATATATTCAATCAACCAATTTGAAGTCTGTTTAACAATATGGTTTCTCTCTATAGATGTAATGATAGTTTTTTTTCCACAGTGCAACTTCAGAGATTAAATAGATATTATTTAAAATTTCTCAGGGAATGGCAGAAACAAGGACAATTATGGATATGCAAAGATGTTTTTCATATTATTCCTGACGTTTTCCTTATCCTTTGATTTTATTCTAGGCTGTTACCCTATGATTCATCAATTCCTCACTTTTTAAAGTAAAATTTAATCAGGCAGGGCCTTTTAAAAACATGTATCCAAAGCCCAGAGTCACCTTTGTAGATATAAGAAAACCAACAAACAAACTCACCAGATTTGCAATATCCTGCTAGAACTACATCGTCACTCCTGGCTTGGAAGGCTTCCAATGCTTTGAACTGTTCTGGGTTGCAAGTGATAGTTGGGTATACAATTCCTTCATGAATAAACAGCTTCTCATCTGGTGTCATCTGCTCTCCTTCTTTCATGCCTTTTTCCATAATCTCAATTAACTTTTTTCTAACGTACGCCATTTCCACCTTCTATATATATATAGGGGGGAATCTGTTCAAACAAACAACCCAATTTGTCTTTTAAATACAGTATAGATGAATGTATATATAGTTTTCAGCTGTAAAAGACAGACAATGATTTAAAACATGTGTTTGCAGTGCAAATCAAAATGTCCAAATAAAAACAAAAAAGAGGAAAAAAGATTTTTCTACAATTGAAGGAATTTCAATTCTGGATATTTTCTATTAGGATGAAATGGAAAAACATAATTTTAAATTTTGAAAGATCTAATGACAATGTCCCCATAAACACTTATTCTGCTAGAGTTTAAGCCATTGCAGTTACAAGTTGTAATCTCCTTTTGTACAGTGCCATTCAGTTTGGCTGCAACGTCAGTACACCTAAAACACCAGCAAATATTTTTCTTCATTCTCAAAACAACAACAAAACCCAGAAAGATAAAGAAAAAGAAAAAAATAATAATTGTATCCTGCTTCATTTTTCTCTTTCACCCAGCTTTGCTTGTCTGCTCCTCAATATTTCTGCATTCTTTGAAATATATCAAGATTGGCTTACATTCTTCCACGCTCTGCAGTAAGACAACAATGTTCGTGATGCACTTCAATATATCAGCCTTTATAACTGTAATCAATTTTTCATGGAGATCTCTTCCCTTAATTCCACTGACAGTTTAATACTCAACAAGGTGCAACCTGCAGAAAGCTGGAGAGGAACCACCTCTGGTGTGTACCTAGCATAAATAATCCCATGACTCTGAATGTATGCTACCAAAGTTCATTGAACCTCAGGGCTAGTCCCAAATCGGGCACCATCCCAGCTGCTCTGAAAAAGGTGCTATCTCAATTCAATTTGTAAGCACTCTCCCATAGTTAAAAGAAAGCGGAGTAGATTCCACACTCAAATAAAAGTGAACTCACTGAACAATATTTTAGAGACAGACTGGGAAGATTGCCTGCCATGGTGCTGAAATAACCTTGGAGAAGAGTTTAAGGACAACTGCTTGAGAAGCATGAAAAGACAAAATAAAAAGTTTTGTAAGTATGCACCTGGATGAGCAAAGGGCCCCTGTTCCTTCAGAAAGAGGNAGAATCAATAAACAAACAAAGAGTTTGCTTAAACTGAAAATCATATGTGCTGGAGGATCATGGGTCTTTCTTAATTATAAACTTCATGAATTTCTGTCAGGAAACCTGGAAGTCATTGGTCATCTATCTTTTTTCCTGATCATTTTGGTAATAAGAGTAGGAGGCCAGTAAAAGAGCTTCAGTTAGTTGGTCTTTTTAACTGTTTCTTTAGAATGCATTTAAGGAAAGTGTAGAATATTTTGGCATGTGCCTTGTACTCTGGTAGAAATGTTGGGAAAGCTTCATTGTTGTCTGGAATGGATTCTGCACATCTAGCAGTGATTAGAATTCTGATCTGATTTGTTCCAGAAAGATATGGTCTTAAATTCCTACTCCACCTTGAAACTCACATCATTCTTTCTCTAAGTCTTTCCATTCCTTGCTGTTTATGAATATAAGAACCCATATGTCTGAACTGTACCTCTTTTATCTCTTCATATGTTATTGGCAGGACATTTTCTTTATCAATATACTTGTTCCATGTACAAAGATACTCTATATAGGATCCCCAGGGCACTATTGAAATTTCAAAAAAAAAATTAAGATAACGTCAGAACAAGACTGATAACAGACATAATATGTATATGACACATTGAAAATTTCAGCTGATCTCTGAATATCATGTCTACAGAGTTTATCTTCTTCCAATCCTTTTTCCTTAGTTCTAATGTCTGTGAATATTGCTATTATTTAGAAAACTTACTCTATTCTTTTTAATTATGTCAGGTATGTTGTTTGTTAGTTAGTAATCAATTTATAGATGAAAATCACATACAAATTAACATCATTGGTAGTGTTTAATTTTGTGATCATACCACATTTAGGAAGCTAAGAAATTATAGTTTTGCATAGATGCAGTTCTGACACGGTTTATAATCTGAGCATAAACAAGCATATATAAGCAATATAAATTAAATGGAAAATTGATATGATCATTATTATTCAAAACCTTCCATCTATTACATCTTGAGATGTAATAGATTTCTTTTTGCTAAATATTGGTAACTAGATTTAAGTCAAAATAATAAATATGTATCTTTCTTTTTTCATTTGGCCAATACGTAACTCTGGCCTTACATGAAATTACACTAGCTGCCAGAGTTAGAATGAAATACCTTGAAAAACTGAATTACAATTTTGGAGATAGTAGTAGCAAGAGCACAGACTTATATACCAATTCACAGTGCTTTACAGCCCTCTCTAAGTGGTTTCCAGAGTCAGCATATTTCCCCCAACAATCTGGTTTCTCATTTTACCGACCTCAGAAAGATGGAAGGGCTGAGTCAACCTTGAGCTGGTTGGGATCGAACAGCTGGCAGTGAGCAGTGCGTTAACCACTGCATCACCATGGCTCATATACTTCTCTTGGCCTCTCAAATGGAAAAGAGCCAGCATGAGTGAGTGTGTGAGTGAGTGAATAAATTAATGAATATATTTTTCTGCTATTCTATTGATTTATTTGTTGGATTTATATTCTGCTTTTTGTGCAGAAGCTCAAGGCTGCATAAATAGCATACCTTCTTTTTTCCTACAATAACAACCCTGGGAAGTAGACTGGATTGAGGCAATGAGAAATATTTGCTTCTCTTTTCAAATAATATTATTTGTTCCTCTATCAGAAAAGGATCTGTTCATAGGATTAACTATAATTTATTGAAACAAGCTGAGAATCTGAACTCTAATTTGAAGTGTCTCTGCTTGAACAAAGCATACACTAATCAATAAAAAAATAATCAAGATAGACAGCTACTATGTTCTTCATATTTACAGACATTAAACAATTGAAATGAATAGAAATTCTACTTTTTCCTATCATTAAAGCTCGGAAGAACTCTTCAAATGTATCATAGGGAGGATAAGGACTGAAGTTGTTTGAAAAATGGAAAAAAGATGCAGCAACATCTTTTGGATTTCGAACCAGCATCAGTACCTAAAAACCAAAAAAACATTAGAATATCAAATGAGAAAGCATAGATTATATCTCTAAAATGCACCAGATTCTCTGAAAATTATCCTCAGCTACTTTTGATGACTAAAATCTTATATACACTTGCCTGTGTGAATACCTGAATCACATTCAGTCAGTGGTATCTTACTGTATATTAATGCAAAGATGTTAGGAAACAGAATCAGAGGTGATATTCAGCAGGTTCTGATCAGTTCTGGAGAACCGGTGGCAGAAATTTTGAGTAGTTCAGAGAACCGGTAGTTGCCACCTCTGACTGGCCTCGCCCCCATTTATTCTCTGCCTCCTGAGTCCCAGCTGATCAGGAGGTAATGGATATTTTACACTATCCTTTACTAAAAATAGTAAAAAAAAATTGAATCCCACCACTGAACAGAATGTCCTATTGAGACAATACATTGCCAGGTTAGGGGGAAGTTTTTGAAAATAGCTTGTCCTTGTCATCTTCTTAGGCTGAGAGGGAGTGACTGGTCCAAAGTCACCAAACTCGCTTTATATTTTATTTAGCCCGATGTGTTAACTAATATACCAAACTGGCTATCTAGTTAGTATGGAATTTCCATTTCAAATATATTTACAGTTACTTCCTCAAATGATGTCTCTGAATTATTAAAGGGCAGAGCTTTAATTTGAAAACAGTCATATCCTGAAGATGCAATTAAGTTGCACTGCAGTAATTACATTTATCCAAATTTAAAAGACATATCAACAGATAGCTGTAGTAAACACAGCTATTTACTACCCAGTCATCCATTTGTATGGTACATATTGATTATTATACTTAGCATGTTCTTGCTTATCTTTTATTCATATTTTTATTGTTCAAGGCTGACTTTATCCATGTAGTGGTAGAAGTGCTCGTTTAATTTTATCAAGATTGTTACAGTTTTAGGGCATTAAATCGGCTACTTACTTTGGCTTTGTTCTGGAAAATTGATGGTGGGAATCTATCAGGACGGAGATGAGTAAACATCACTCTCCTGGAAGGATAAGTATCCATCCTCTTCAATAAATAATAAATAAAATCAATCAATCAATCAATAATGAACTCCCAGAAATCCCCAACCAGCATGAGAAACACCAGATTGGACAATTTGGTTTGAATAACGCTTGGACACTCTTTAAATTAAAGCTTTCAAAGTCACAAATTTATGTTAGCATTTCCCTTTACTCTCCGCCATCCCACAATCATAAAATCAGAAATTGCTTGGAAATAAGTTTATTGAACTCAAAAATCACCCCTGGTTTTGCAAGAGGAAAAAAAATCTAGGTAAATATGATCCAAATCATGGATTAGACTAGACTAGCAGACTAGACTAGACTAGATTAATAACACACATTTCAAATATGCAAATCACAAGTTTTCCCACTGAATTCTACAATCAAGAGTAATACACTTACTGGTCATTGGATTGGTTAATATATCAACCGAGGCCAATTTTACCTCTTCAAAGACTGACACATGCAGAATCAACTCAGATGCCTCTGATCAAACATAGTCTGACTGACTAATTTTATTCTGGGGACACCCTGAAAAAATACTCAATAATTTACCTCTATTGCTGTTTTAAAATATGGTCTGATGAAAATTTACNGCATGCAGAGAAGGCATAATTCAGAGCACAGTCAAAAATATTCCACATATCTTTAAAGAGTTTTGTTTGTACATTTAGGAATAATAAATAATCAGATGATTGGAGAATGGGATCATGTCATTGAAATGATTAGACGTTTAGATCAATTGGATTTGGAATTGGGACAATAGAAGAATCTTTTGGTCACAAATCCTTTGGGCATCTTCCTTTTGAGTTTAAGATTATCACCAGCCTGTCTTTCTATTAGTAGGAACAGTTAGAGTGGAACAGAACAAAGAAAGTTGCCATACTTGCAATTACGCTTGACTTTTATAGCTGCAAAAGTCTTCTTTGTATAGGTTAATGATTAACAGCTGTAACTAGAAAGGAACAAAACAATTAAAGCTTTATTTTAGGAAATTTAAGCTCAAGTGAAAAATAGGTAGTCCTTGATTTACAACCATTCACTTAATGACTGCACTGAAAAAGTGAATTGTAACTGTTTTTCACACTTATGACAATTATGACATCCCCATGGTCATGTGATCAAAATTTGAATACTTGGCTACTGGAATGTATTCATGATGGTTGCAGTGTCTTGAGTCATGTCATCACCTTTTACAACTTTCTGGTGTGTGACATCAATGAGGAAGCCAGATTCATTTAATTGTGGCAAGAAAGACTGTAAAATGGTGCAAATTCCATTTAACAACTGCCTTGCTTAGCAATAGCAATTTTGGGCTCCATTGAGAAATTCAGCCTAGAAATAAAACAATTGTGTGAAAACAATTAACTAATTCCCTTTAGAAGTTGTGGCAGCTTCATCACTGGAAGCTTTCAAAAAGAGACTGGATTGCCTTTTGTCAGAAATGGTGTAGGGTCTCCTGCTTGGGCTGGAGGTTGGACTAGATGACTTATAAATTCTCTTCCAACTTTGTTAATCTGTTAATTCATATTTGTTTTCCTTCTGCAACAGTCAGCTGTCCACAGAAAAATTAAACTCTTGTAGGAAACTAGCACCCACCCATCTCCTAGAAGAATGAAATATCCTGGGAAATATTAAAGGCTGAATATTGTATTTCCATGGATAAGAAATAGAAAAACATGGTTTTAGGCAGGAAACAGACTTACTCTTAATAGCCTTTGTCAATGACCTATTAAAGCCTGAGTTCATCTATTCTACATAACAAAGGTAGAATTAGTGCTCTACAGAGACTCACCACAAGGCAATTACATCAGCCAGCAATGCAACCAAGCTTGGGCTCAAAGCACAGCCTACAGAGTTGCCCCTGCATGGCCCCTTCAGAATACAAGCTCAGGTTCAAAGAGGGCATAAAAGCAGGGACTTTCAGGATCTCTGCCTTTTTTTCTTCTTCACCCAACATCTTGAAGCATGTGATCCCCCTTTTCTGTTCAGGAACTCAAGCCATGCGATCCTGTCCACTATTAAAACCATCTTTCCAAGCAGTCTCCATGTTTCCAGTGTCTTTTTTCCCACTTGGAACTGAACTCAGAAGGATATTACTTCAAACACTCTTATATGCATTTGACATATTTAGATTCAGTAAACTTTATTTGGATGTTTAGATCAAACCTTTGTACAATAATCCTTGCTTAAGTACAGTAATTGGGATCAGCAACGAGATTAGACAAAGTTGTAAATGTGTTATCATGCAGGTGGATTACGATAGCAGTTGCGGCAATTCTCATTGCCACTGTTAAATGACTTCTGCGCAATTGTTATATGCAACATCACATTATTATCATTTGTGACTACCTGGTGGCTTCCCTTCTTTTATCTCTACCTGTGTTGGTATGTAATTTCCTGTTACTAGCAATCATTCAGATTGGCAGTAGCCAATCAATTAATTTTCTGTTAGGATTTATGATTAAAATGTCAATGAACAATACATAATTACATTTCAAATTGATTTCAGTATTTAATGGTATGTATGAAAATTTGTGTATATGAGTGTGTAGGAATAAACACAGAGAAACATATATCTGTGCTCGAAAAATTGGTGTGATTAAGAGCTTGTTGATTTCTATACAATAAAAGGTCACATTATAGATTTCTTTCTAACATCTATCCAGTTGTCTTATATTTCTAAAATATTTTGTCATAACTGTGAATAGAAATGAATATGCTATTAGCATGATTAAGTAATGCAATTTTAGCCATTTATAGCTTATAAATTTATAGAACTGTTGTCAGAAAACTCTTGAAATTATTTCCATTTCCCTTTCATGCAGAGATTACATAAAAATCATAAATTTATTAAAATGTAAATGGAATGCCTTGTTTCCGATAATGGAATTATTTTACAATGGATAGCTTTTCCCCTTGATCTTCATATCTTGCAGTAATGATCATAGTTTATCAATTTTCCCACTTTGGTTCCTTCTAAGCGCTCTTTAAATACAGTGTCCATCTCCTTGTTGTTTGCTTCACTAAAAAGTGTTTTCCAGTCACTTATGCCACCTGAAAACAAATAATTTTTAATATGAAAACCACACATCTTGCAATGTCAATAAGTATTTGCCTAAACTAAGGCCTGCAATACTACTGAATACTGAGAGAAATAAATAATAATTAGATGTTTTACAAATGCTCTTTTGCAAATGCTTCATATCTGCTTTTCTGGGTATATTTCCATCCATCCATCCATCCATCTATGCATTTTATATATAGCTGCACAGCTCAGAGTGCATAATCCATTGCAAATATATACTGTCAATTTATAAGAAGATGGAAACGGCTGCTGTTTGTACTTATTTATTTGTGGATGTTTTAATGTTTTAAGTTGTTCTATTTATAGTTTTAGAAATGGTGAAGTCACCAATTTAACAGCTTGGTTGAGTTGGGAAACTATAGAAAATGAATGAATGGATGAATATATGAATGATTGAATGAATGAATGAATGAATATGTCCCTCTATATAAACATCAGTGAATTAGCAGGAACAGCAGATTAAGACAGATAGTATAAATTGGATTTTAAAAGTATTTTTTTAATCTTTGGCACTTTTCTGTAGTTAAAAATATATACAGTAATTATCCAATATTATTCAGAAATGCAGTAAGCATTGTACAACTATTACTTGTCTCCCTCTTTAAAAAAAGAATGATTATGGACATAGGATTTTGAGGTTGGGAGTTTATTCATCATCAAATCATTACAGGCAGATTAAACTCTAGAATGGCTAACCAGATATGTAATTATTATGCTTCTCTCATTTTATGTCCACTTCCATTTAAAAATAATAACATTATATTTCTTTTTTCTATATTCTAAACAAAGCATAGTTCTTTACATTGATAGATTAGATCATGCATTTTGTGATGGTGGCTAAATTCATGATTATTATTTTTTTAAAAAATGCAAATGCTCAAAAGCAAATTAGTTAGAATTTCATATCATTTCTCCAAATCTGTGGAATGGGGATAATAATTAACTCTCACTAAAATAAGATGCTATATTTACCTCCATGATGTAACAAGCACAACATTATGGATGTTCAAAAGTTACCTTTCCGGAAAAGAACTTCACCAAATTCTCCATGGGTTGTTTTAGATTTTTCTTTCATTGCCTTGAACGTGCTCCTTTCTGCAACACCCTGAAAGTCTTCCTCATTTAAGTTCAGTTCAAGAAAAGTGGAAATCTTTTTGGCTCCTAAAGCTGGGTTCTGAAAAAGGGAACAATTTGTACTGCTGGTGAAAAAAAACCTCTCATTTATTTTATGTCCCATTTCTAAGAAAGAGATCTGACCAACTTTGGGAAGGGAATGATGCAATATATTTGCATCATTTTCATGTCTAAAGTTCCCTCTATTTTAAGGTGACCAGATTTTTAGATTGGTAAAGAGGGGCACCATTGACCGGGGGGGGGGGTGTGTGCTTGATTAAAAATTTTATATTCTGTCAAAAG